AAGCCCATCCTGCAGCGATTGGCTTAATCATGGTGGAATATTGTCTTATCTGAGGAGGAGCAGGGCGTTTTAAGACCCCAGAGCCCAGAATTAACAGCTTGGAATGGTCACTGTGCTGGCTGTTAATGGACTCAGGCCATTAAAAAGAGAGAAGTTCTGGCAACTCTGTGTTCCTCCGACAAGAGAAGCCGCAGCAGTGTGAGAATCATTTGCAAATAAGTGTCTGGAGTGCCAATGGTTCTAGCAAAATCAGTTGTTTGATCAGATGAGGTTCTGAGGGCTTAGCTGCTCTTCAGGAAGGGCCCTTGCCCCGTGAATTTACGGTAACAACCACTGGCACTGAGATTTTCTCCAATCCTAAAATTTGACACCCACCTCCAAACCATGCCTTGCTCTACCATGGGCCCCTGCTGTCACCGCTGCTATGGGCCAGGTGCTAAAGGAGGGTCACAGACCAGCTGCACCCTAAAGTCCAAACAATGGGTTCTCCTATTGTCCCTACAGTTCTCTTTGCAATGGTATTGGGGTTTGAACTCAGGGCCTCTTGCTTGGCAGGCAGGCAGGCATTCTGCTGCTGAGCTATGTCTCCAGCCCTCTTTGTTCCTGGTCATTTTTGGAGGTAGCATCTTTCTTCCTGCCCAGGTGTGTGTGCCTGATCTTCGTGGAGATGCAGTCATGTGGATTTTTCTGCCCAGTTTAGCCTGGAACTGTAATCCTCTCAATGTCAGTATCTCTCTCACATGGTTTAGGATGACAGGCAGTTACCACTGCACCCAGCTATGGGTTCAGGAGAGGATCTTACCAGCTTTTCTGCTCAGGCTGGCCTTGACCTAGATTCTTTCATTCACAGCCTCTCAAGTAGCTAGGATTATGGGTATGAGCCAACAGTGCCCACTGTTTGTTTTTGAGATGCCAAATTTTGCCTAGACGGCCTCAAATCTGCAATCTTCCTACCTCTACCTCCTGAGGAGCTGGGATTGCAGGCATGCACAACTATGCCTTTTCAAGAACAACAAAATGGCAGGGTCTTGTGTAACCCAAGCCAACTTAACAAAGGAACTCTCTCTTCATTCATCCTTGGGAGCAAGCTGCCCTTAGTGGAACCGACCACTCTACACTAGCTCTTGTATTGTTCACTATTAACTGTGCAGAGATGAAACAAAAGCTATTATCTATATCCCTTCCTTTTCTCTCCACCCCCATTTCCTGGGCTTGAATTCAGGCCCTGGACCACTGTCCCTGAGATCTTTCAGCTCAAGGCTAGACCTCTACCACTTGAGCCACAGCTTCATTTCCAGCTTTTTGGTGATTAACTGGAGATAGTCTCACAAAGATAGTACCTGGGCTGGTTTGAAACTGCAATCCTCAGATCTCTACCTCCTGAGGAGCTAAGATTACAGGCGTGAGCCACCACACCTGATTCCCATACTTATTCTGAAACCCTTGGTTATAGTAGAAGCAACTAAGTCTTCTAATTCTTCTAAGTTGATTGCTTGGAAGACCTCAGTAACCTCTCCCTGAACAAAAGGTCACAAAACCCCCACTAAAACAAAGACACATAAAGTGTCAGCATCCAGCTGATGTTTTCCTGCCCCAAAACAAGGAATTTCATGCGCAGTAAGTTTGACTTTTTTCTTCTTCATACATACTGAGAAAGTATGAGAAATTTCAATATGTGTTTACTTGTCAGTAAAGTTTCAAGGCTAGAATAAATGTATTAGAATTCACACCACACACACACACACACACACACACACACACACACACACACGTACTGAAACTACAGGTTCAAATACAACACCCTCATTTTATACCAGTGTAGCTTTAAAGATCTCAAAATACTAAAGCTACTACTTTCAAAATATACCTGTTAAGGGACGGGGGACATGGCTCAAGTAGTAGAGTATTTGCCTAGCAGGAGCAAGGCCTTCAGTCCAATCCCCAGAACAACAACAACAACAACAACAAAGAAACACCTATTGAATATTCAATATAATATATTGAATACATAACATAATCATTCAACAAAATATATTTAATAAGCTACAGCTCACGCCTGTAATCCTAGCTACTCAGGAGGCTGAAATATGAGGAATATTTTGGAGAAATATTATGGGTCAAAGAAAGCCTGGGTAAGGAAAGTCTGAATCTTCTACCTCTAGTTAACTACCAAAAACCTGGAAATGGAGTTGTGGCTCAACTGATAGAACACTAGCCTTGAGCAAAAAAGCTAAGGGACAGCTCCCAGGACCCAAGATCAAGCCCCAGTACCTGCACAAAAGAAGCCACTGCTATAAAGCACCAGAAAACAAGTACTTTTTAGAGTAAGTTACCAAAAACAGTTTAAGGTACTATCATTAAATAATTAAAACTTCTCAGGCTTCTATCAAATCAGAAAACTGCTCCCCCTCCCCCCAGAGATCAATGATCTTCTTTTTAGATTGTTTTGGGGGTTCTTTTGCTGTCTCCCCTGACCTCCATACCGCGGACCTCTCAGCCCTTGCTAAGGGCAAGGTCTCTGCTGCTTGAGTTCTTAGCTAATCTTACGGTATGGCTACAATGTTTTTCCTGTGTCGCACCTGGTAATGAGCCAAACTGGGTAGATTAGCACACTTTATTGCTAAGGTTGACCTTTTCTGATCAGAGAAGGTGAGGTAATATTGGGGAGAGGAGCCCGCTAGCCCTTCAGCCAGGCTTCAGTGGTAGCAGTATGCTCCACTCGCCCTTCACTAGCCTGACCTCGCCATCTGGGTCTAGAAGATCCTTGATCCCCAAAACATCTTCAGAACCAGCCTTGCTCAACCTCTGGGTTCCACCCAGGCCAGGCCAGGCACCATTCTCTGGGTCACCTGTAAGGTGCCAGGCCTGGGGGCTTGGGGTCAGGCTGGCTCTGGGAATGGCTGCTGGGGGTCCCAGGCTCTGGCTGCCTGTCACAGGCTAGAGTGGCCAGGGCAGGCTCTCCCCCGGCCTCACGCTAACTTGGGGCACAGGGGGAGTTCCTGCTGTCTGGCTTGGAGCCGCGTTGGCGACTGTGATGGATAGATTTCTAGCCTTAGAACTTACAAGTGCTGCTGAGGACCTGAGTCATTGTTGAAGGAAATCACAAGCACTGAAGAAACAAAATAATTGTTTTTATTAAAAATTGCACCCATGGCACCCGTCTGTCTTCCTACAAGGTGTTGAGATCTTCTTCCTCCTCCTCTTCTTCTTTTTCTTTTAAAAATGAGGCCTGGTTTTCTTCATGATTTCAGAAGGAGTAAGTGAAACTTCAGGTGTACCCTGAACTCTCCCCAAAGCACTGGGGGACTGGCAGGATGTCCAGGGGGTTACATACTGCTGTTACCCCCAGATGGGGGGCTAGGCTGAGGGGGGGCACACTCAGGAATGCAGGCCACTTGTTCTCGGGGGAGCTGAGCTGGGAGCCAGGAATGCACCAAAATGAAAATTCACTATGCAAGTGCCACACCAGGCTCTGACCACTGCATCCAAAGAACCTTCCAGAAGGAGCCCTGTCCCCTTGAGCTGTGTGGATGCTTCATGTGGCCTCAGTCATGGAAGAGATGCACCTCATAAAGTGTGGAGGGGTGGTGACAGTGGGGCCTGGGAGGCCACTGCTCCTCCCTGGGGAGCGGGGACCCTGTGTGGAGCCATGGGTGCAGTGGTCTGGGGCCTGGCCGCACCGTCTCACCACCCCACACAGTCTCAGCCGCCCGCCTGTCCAGGGGGCTTGGCGCCCGAAGGTCGCACTTGTGTCTTGGTGACAGCTTTTGCTTGTCCTTGTCTCAGAACTGAGACTTAAATCCAACATCCATATTTTTCTTTTCCCTCCCTGGAGGGGATGCGTGGAGTGGACACTTCTCAGTGGCCACGCTGCTGTGGGACCCCCCGCCCCCCTCCTCTGGTTGTTATGGGACAGACCCTCCATGGAATGGGCAGCCGCTAACAGCTGTCCATCATCCATCCTGGGCCCAGCCCTGCCTGGAAAAGCGCACTCCACAGGAAATGGAGAGGCTCAGGAAACACACGTCACTGTCACAAACCAAACTGTTCCCCATTCCCCCTTCCCCCCTCCAACTAAAGCAATGTCCTGAGGCTCAAGGGCATGCTCAGGGCTGGGCCTTCCTTGCTCTCCATGCAGGGTGACCACCCACAGAGTTCTGGGGTGGTGTGTGGTCACCCCTGTGGGGGAGGGGCCATGTGGATGGTCACGGCCAGTCTCATACAGAGGTGGCTTTGGGCAGAGCATCTAGGATTTTTGGTTTAGAATATTTCCCCTTCCACTGGGAAAAGGAAGGAAGGAAGTAGGGAGGAGAGAGGGAGGGAAGGAGGGAGGGAGGGATTTTCCTATACCCTCTGCTTTGGAAGAACTGAGAAGGGTTTCTTTACTGCACAGGAAATTCTGTCTTCCTAGACCACAGCCGGGTGACTGTGAAGTAGGAGAATGAATGCAACGTCTTCATTCTCTGCCCCCAACGAGGTGTGGAAAGAAATAACCGCGTGGAGGCCGCATATCTGACATGGCCATGAAACTGCAGCCCAGCGGTGCTGACCAGTCCTCACCCTCAGGGCCTGGATGATCCTGGGGTGGGGGGGCTGTGACTTCACCCTGCTGTGTTCCTGGGGTACAAGGAGAGCTGTTGAGTCGCGTGCCCCCTGCAGGCCACGTGGCCCTGTTCCACGTGGACCTGGGCTGGGGGTGGGGGGCATGTGACCGCCCATGTTCCAGCCATTCGTCCTCAAAATAATGGGGGGGGCCTGGGGGCACGGCTGGGGCTGGAGTCAAGTTTTCCCAAGCAGTTTAGACTATTATCATTCAGCTACAAATAATAACGAAAACAGAGCGAGTTCACGAAGAATCACCCCTTCCCTGGCGAGTGAAGGCTCAATGCTGGCCTTGGATGCAGGTGGGGGTAGGGGTGGGGACAGTGGCCCAGGGATGTAAGGGACGGTCCCGCGTGCCTGCGTGCACGAGGTGACTTGGGGCCTGCTTGGTTTCTCAGAGCTGTTGGCTTTATTTGGAGATTCCTGCTTCTTGTCGTTCCCACGTACAAAGCTGAACAATGAATAAAAAGGCACCTGGAGACAGCAAAGACGCGTTCATTTCATGTGACATCGTTTAAAAAAAGATAAAAAGATTTAAAAAATACTCTGGTTAACAGTGCACACTCCTCCATCACAAGCCACTCTGCAGGTGAGTCTGGGAGGTGGGTGGGCGTGTGCTGTGTTTAGGGGCACCGCCCGGGGAGGGGGGCGCGCCCAGAACCCAGGGGACACCTCCTACTCCTGTCATCTGGTCGGAAAGAGGGTAGGGGTGGAGGCAGGGAAAGGCTCACTCTGCACCCACAGCAGCAGACAGGATGCGAAGCGGAGCCGCCATCTATCCCTGCCCAGTACCATGTTGGCCAGCAGCAAAGATCTGGGTGCAGGTGGCAGGATTTGTCCTCCAAACCCCGGGGGTGGACCAGGAGCAGCTTCAAGTTGTCCCCAGACAGGCTGTGACCAAGCTGGCTGGGCCTCGGAAAGGAGGTAGACAGAGGAGCAGGCCGAGGAGCCCCGGTTCACCCAACCCTCCTCTCCTGCGCCCCCAGCCCCCCGGGGTGGGGTGGGGCCGGGTGAGCGGCACCCCCGCCCCCCAGGAGTGCCGGCCAGTGCACCAGGGAGATAGACCTTCTCTTAAAAAGAAAAGAAAACAAAGACATCTGCTTTGGGCAGCGATGTTACAAAAAAAGGCATTTTTTAAAAAAACCTTCCTAAGTTTGAACTCTAGCGTCCGCCGGTGGGGATCACTGCTTATCAGGTTGGGGTTTTTGTGTGGTTGGAAAACGAAAGAAACTTCAGCTCAGCGGTTGGAGTTGATTGTCTTTAACAAAAATAAGACTCCCGAGGTCCGCCCGGCGGGGCTCACACGAAGGAGGAGAAGCCGGTGAGCGGCGCGCGCGGCCCGGCCGCCGGGGTGTACACGCCGCCCGCGCTCTGCGTGGTGATGACCGGGTGCAGGTGCGCGCCCGCCTCGGCCCCGGCCACCGCCTCGTACCTGTGCGCCGCGGGCGCCGCGGGCCGCCGCTTCCACGAGTTGTAGTAGGTGGGGTCGCTCATGTAGTGGTTGACAAACGAGTGCTTGGGAGGGGCGTCCTCGTAGTCCGAGTCGGAGGCCTAAGGGACAGGGACGGCGTGGGTCAGAGCGGACATGGGGGGTGGGGATGGGGAGGAGGGCCGTGGGAACAGCGAGGTAGGAGGAGGGCGACACCTGGACCGGGGCACTCATCCGTCACTCCCAAAGGGCAGGATGGACCTGTAGCCACCTGTCCCGCCCCCCACTCCCCCTTCTGCAACCCGGGAGAGAGGTCTACGCCCGGAGGTGCCCCCCCCCCCCCCGCTGGCTGAAGCGCTGGGCACAGAGGCACAGGAAGTGGGAAAGGCCCCGGCCTTGGGTCTGCGGGGCGCCCAGGCGTGGGAGCAGAAGAAAGGATTCTCCTGCCCAAGAGCAGGAGTCTGGAGTCTGCCTCCTTGGAGAACCAGCCCCACAGCCAGAGATGGTGGTGGGGGGAGAGATGATGCACACAGGTGTGTACTGGCCAGGCATGAACCTTCCCTTCCTCAGGGTGGAAGCCCCATCAACCCCAGCTGCACCCCCAGACACACCCGCCTGGCATCCTGGGTGTGTGTGAGGAGAAGCCGCTTGATGGGCTCAGCTCTTTTTTTCCTTTCTCCCTTCCTTCCTTCCTTCCTTTTTTTTTTTGGTTTGAACCCTGGGTCTGGTTGTTTTCTTTGGGTGGCACTAGGGTTTGATTTAGGGCCTTGCACTACTTGAGCAAGGCACAGCCAGGCACAGCTCTCTCTCTCTCTCTCTCTCATACTCTTTTGTACCAGTAGTGGTGGGGCTTGAACTCAGGGCTTAGGTGCTCTCCTGAGCATTTTTGCTCAAGGCTGGTGCACACAGCTCCATTTCCAGCTTTTTTCTGGTTAATTGTAGATAGGAGTTGTTCTGCCCAGGCTGGCCTGGAACCACAATCCTCAGATCTCAGACTCCTGAGTAGCTGGGATTACAGACGTGAGCACTGATGCCCAGACTTCCTAGTATTTTTTTTTTTTTTGCTTTAGTTATTTTTCCTCAGGGCTGACCTCAGCCTGGGATGCCACCCAGCCATTGGTAGAAATGAAGTCTCAAACCACAATCCTCCTGATCTTGGCCTCCTAAGTAGTGAAAGATTATAGATGTGCCCCAGCTTCTGGTCTTCCTTTTTATAAAATAAGCCGCCAGCTTCCATGAACAACATTTATTTCACTTTTAAAAAATTTATCTTGAGCTGGGAAGGTGGCTCAGTGGTAGTAGAGTGCTTGCTTCAAATGCATGAGGCCCTGAGTTCCATTCCTCAGCACCACATAAACAGAAAAAGCCAGAAGTGGTGCTGTGGCTCAAATGGTAGAATGCTAGCCTTGAGCTGAAGAACTGAGGGTCAGTGCCAAGGACCTAGCCCTATGACTGACAAAAAAAGATACACACACACACACACACACACACACACACACACACATATTTGTTCTTTCATAGCAAGGTGTTGCCCAGACTGGCATTGAATTTGCAATCTTCTTGCTGGGAGTACATGGGTACCCTATTACACTCAGCTTAACTCACATTTTCTGTGTCCATTTTCTTCAAGAAAAACTATTTTATGGTGTCTGAGTTTATTTAAAATTACTGGAAATATTGTTAAAGATGGAGACTGAAGTGTCTCCCCCCACCAGGTGAGGAGAGGGCTCCCTGTTGTTCTGATGAAAGGAGCATAAGAGATGAACCAAGACATCACATCCCCAAACCACAGGCCCCACAAGATACCATGTCCCCAAGTGAGAGATCCCACATCTTGGCTGAGCCCACCTACGCCTCCTGCTCCCTCCTTGAACTTGAAAGGCCAGCCAGCCACTTCAGGGACGGACAAGCTGGGGCCTGTCTGGCGTGGTGTTCTATAATGTCCACTGGAGGGCAGCAAAGAGCTTATCGGGTCTCCAGGGCCCTGGGACACTTTCAAGTGCCCAGGCCAGTTGGGGGCTCAAGTACCCCAGGTACCCTCAAGGGGCTTAGAAGATCCCCCTGGGAGGTGAAGGAGGGGCCCAGAAGGGGGCATCTCTGCGAAGATGATCCATATGCTGTCAGGATCTGCCCTTTTCCTCTCACCGGCATCAATCAGCCTGTATTGGGATGATAAGTTCTCTCACATGGGAGAATAAAATATTATCCTAGGCTTCCTGGGGTGTGGGACCCCCATTCTCTCAACTGGGGTAGGGCAGCTGTTGCCTTCCTATTTTGGGGGCAGGGTCCTTAAGCTTGAACTTGGGGCCTGGGTACTGTCCCTGAGCTATTTTTATGCAGGTCAGTGCTGCACCAGGTGAGCCACAGCTCTACTTCTAGCTTTTTGGTGGGTAATTGAAGAGTTTCAAGGACTTTCCTGCCCGGAACACCTTTGAACCTTGAGCCTCAGATTTCAGCCTCCTGAGTAACTAGGATTATAGGTGTGAGTCACATAGGATCTTAGACCAACACTCAGCACCCTAGGCTCCTGGGAGCTGGGTGCACTGCTCCTGGCAGGTGCCCTTCTGATTGCAAGGAGCTGTCCCACCAGGGAGCTGGGGTCCCTTCTGGAGGCTGTATAGCAGCCAGTGTGGCCACATAGGGGTCCCTGGGGTACAGGACAAGATGCATCCACCGCCCCCCCCCACTTCCGGGATTTTCAGAGGCAGATTCCATATGGAGCACCGAGCTTCTGTGAGTAATCACAAGTCTGGGTGGAGCCTTTTTGGAACATTGGATGTGGCTACTTGTGTCATGGGCTGTGAACGGCTGGGTGTTGTCTTGGCAGAGCTCTTAACTATCCAAGGTGAGCAGTCATGCTCTTGGATGCATTGTTTGCCTGGTTCCCCATCACCATACCCTAATCACCGTGACAACAGCCCAGTGGCTCTCCCCTGCACACGGGCATGTGCATGTGTGAGTGCACACAAACACTTATTTTTTATTCCAGTACTAGGGCTTTAACTTAGTGCTTGGGTGCTGTTCCTCAGCTTTTTTTTTTGCTCAAGGCTGGCACTCTAAACTTGAGCCACAGAGCCACTTCTGGCTTTTTCTTTCTTTGCTGGTTAGCTGGATAAGAAGAGTCTCACAGACTTTCCTGTGGGGACTGGCTTTGAACTGTGGTTTTCAGATCTCAGCCTCCTGAGTTGCTAGGATTGCATCTCCTTTGCAGTGAGCTAGGTCCATCTATTCAGAGAGTCCTGCCAGGGCAGGGTGGTGCTCTGGGTGGGCTGTTTGTTTGACTTCATGCAGGCTTTCTGGGGCTGGTGGGACCCTGACCTGAGGGTTCTGAGCCTCAAATCTGAGTATGCTGTGATCCTCCACCCAGCACCTGCTGTGCCTTCCATGTCAGCCAGATTGGCCATGACCTCCTCAAGCAAGACCCCAAACCACAGTGATCTAAAAACCAGCTGCCACCAGTTGCAACTTGCATGGCCACGAAGCGACCCGAGGGGCCCAGAGGCAGCTGAGCAGGGGGGCTGCGGCCACTTGGTGGGTGTTCACTCTTGGGCTCTGCTGAGGTATGGCTGGCCCTGAGGATTTCTTGCGGCTGCGTTAATATCGCTTCTCCTTCTGTTTTCCAGAGGCCTGGGGGTGGCTTAGTGGGTAAAGCTCTGTGCAAACAAAGAGCTAGAGGAATGGGAACCAAGATCATCTCACAGATGCTGGACGACGAGGCAGTTAGCTCAGAATTGAGTTTACTATCCCCGATCCACTGTGCTTGGGAGCTTGGAACACACCCGGAGTCCCTGTCTCCTAGGAAAACCTCACAGCCACCAGGTACACGGGAAGGTGATATGGTTCTTGGCTTCACACCCTTGGGTGGGCTCTCATCACCCAAAGAGGAGTGTCACATCCCTTGCTGCCCCTTCAGGCTGTATCTTGGGGTATTCTGACCTCACCTCTTCCATTTGCCCACTACTGTAGTGCTGATGGGATACAGGCGATGTGCTTGGGGTAGGGTTCAAGTGGTAGAGCACTCCTGAGTTCAGTCCCAATAGAGAGAGAGAGAGAGAGAGAAAGAGAGAGAGAGAGGGAGGGAGGGAGGGAGGAGAGGAGAGGAGGGAAGGGAGAAAAGAGGGGGAGGGAGGGAGAGAGAAAGGGAAGGAAAAGGAAGGAAGGGAGGAAAGAAGGAAGGAAGAAAGGAAGGAAGGAAGGAAAGAAGGAAGGGAAGACATTCAGTATTCTGGCTATTTACTGGGAAGAACTAAGGGTCACACCCTATAGCCATCTCTGCCTCAAAGGTAGAAATTCCTCAAGAACCCCTTCTACCCATTCCCTGAGAGGTAGAGACACCAGTTATGTGGCAGGCAGGGGCGGAGGTATGGGATCAAGTCTCTCTGAGCAGAGACAGAATGGTCAAGAATTCATAGCACATGCTTGAGTAGGTCCATCCAGCACCCCTGGAGATACCTCCTTACAGGGCCCCTCATGTCGCCCTGTGGCTGAAGTATGGTTCCAGAGGTGCTGGGCCCTGGGGTAGGATGACTCCTACATTTTTTTCTCCTCCTCCTCCTCCTCTTCTTCTTTTTGCTGTATTGGGATTTAAACTCAGGACCTCCTGGCTTGCTAGGTAGGTGCTCTACCAATGAGCCATACCCCCTGCCTGCCTCATGCATGTTTACATGATTAGTAAAACACTACTTCGTTTTGGGCTTCTTATACATGATTAGGAATTTCACGATGAGCCTAAAGGTGGTGCATTATACAAATATGGGTGTTAAGAAGGGATCCTGGCAGTGGTCATGGACTGAGGTCAGTTCACATTGGGCACACAGGAACGTGTCTGGGCCCCAACCTCCTCCTGGAAGGAAGCTACCTTCTCCCTGCCCCTGGTGGATTGAATAGCTTGCCTCTCAAAGAGCAGTGATTGGTTCCTGAGTGGGTGTGAAACTTATCCTGACCAATCAGAGTCTTGCCCTGGGATTCTGCACACTGCATGGGGAAGGGAGAGGCCCTCCATTTGAGGTAGAGCTGGGAAACTGGTAGCCCTCACCTACTCCTAGCCTGGTGGTCCTCAAAGCCAGAACATTGTGTAGAAAAAAAAAAGCTCAGAGAGGCTCCTGACACAGGAAGGTAGCCAGGAGCTTCTGGGAAATTGATGCATGCAGAGCTAGAGCTAAAAGCTGGGCCTCTGGCTCCTGCTCCAACCCTGTGCCGTGGGTCTTTTGATGAAAAACAGTGTTAAAACACCATCCCTTCTCTTGCCGCCGCTCTGTTTATTGCTTATGTGACATTATTATTTTTTAATGGGGATGTATTTTAGCAAGGGAGAATTATTGACAAAAAGAAAATGCTGCAGCCCCCCCCCGCCCTTTTTTTTTAAGTTTCCCGAGTGATGTGAAAGTCACGGTATGTGCTGGTTTCCCAGGAAACCACAGAAGGACAGAGTGTGATTGGAGGGCCTGTCTGACTGGCTGTGGTTGTTCCTAAAGGGGCGCAGAGGCCTGGCCAGTGGCTCAATGCAGGGGGACCATGCAGCATGGGGGTGGGGATGGGGGCATCACAGGCAAGGTGAAAGACCCAAGCACTCTTTGCCACTTGGAGAGAAGGGGGGGGCGGCGTGGAATTTTGGACAACCATTTCTCTGGATTCCAAAAGCACTCTTGACATGGGATTTGAACACGGTGGTCCTGACACAATCCACCAGCAGCCCTGGGAAGAGACGGTCACACACAGGAAGAGCCACACATGTGTCATGTGACGCTGGGGAGCGGGGCAGGATGCCAAGTAGCTGACCAGGTGGCCTGGTGCTCTAGAACTTTCACTCCGACAAAATGTCTGAAAGTGGTTAAAAAAATACAGGACAACAGTGGTTTGTTAGAGAAACACTGGCTTCTCAGGGGAGTTGTTTGGGCAGAGATCCAATAGGATCTCTGTGCCTCTCACTCCCAGGGGCTCTGACTTAACCCGGGTGCCACCTGCATCAAGCCGCTGTCTTGAACCCAGGACCAAGTGTGTCCATTTTGTTTCTCCCCTCTTCCCCCCATACCTGGCTGCTGTGTTTACACATCCAAGCTGCCTTGCAGGAAGGACAGATATCTGACGTCTAAACCCCAGCCCCTCGTTAGGGAGCGCTGCTTGCAAATGAGGCCGGCGCTCTGGGCTTTACTCTAATAGTGTCACAACCCAAAGCTGTGGTCGCCTGTGGAGTTCGCTCTTCTCTCCAAGAGTCTCATCTGCACTTCTGGACATGTCTCCAACTCTATGCACGAGACTTAAGAGTCTAAACCAGAAGTCAAAGTAACAGGAGAAGAACAGGCATCAGAACCTAGACTTGTCTCTCATCAGTCCTGAATGACAGAATTATCATGCAGAGAGAAACATTTGGAATAGCAGGGTAGGAAGCTCAGAAGATGCTCTCTGCAGTGGAAATACTGCTTAACTGGCAACAATTATTTTAAAAACAATCACATAAAGTTCTTGGAAATGGTACTAAGAACAGACAGCAAGCACAAAGATTGATAGAAGAAAATCTCATAGAGATGTGGCATGGCATGCATCGCTATTGTACTAGCAATTCAAGAGAGAGGTAACAGGAGAATCACGGTCTGAAGCTGGCCTGGGCAAAAGTGTGAGATCCTAACTAAAGAAACAGGACTAGCTGGGAAGGTGGCTCAGTGGTAGAGTGCTTGCCTTGCATGCCTGAGGCCCTGGGTTCGATTCCTCAGCACCACATAAGCAAAAAGAAAAAAAGCCAGAAGTGGCGCTGTGGCTCAAGTGGTAGAGTGCTAGCCTTGAGCTGAAGAGCTGAGGGGCAGCGCCCAGGCTCAGAATTCAGGTCTCAGGACCGGACCCAAAAAAAAAAAAAAAAAAAGAAAGAAACAGGACTAGGGTATAACTCACATGGCAGAGTGCTGGACTAGCAAACGGGAGGCCCGGAATTCAAATCCTAGTACTGTCTCCCCTCCCCCCCAAATCTACAAGCCCTGCAATGGTGGCTTGTGCCTCAGGAGGCTGAGGTGTGAGGACTTTGGTTGGAAGGCAGTAAAGTCCATGAGACTCTTATCTCTGATTAACCAGCAAAATGTTCGAAGTAGAGATATGATTTAAATGATCGTGTGCTAGCCTTGAGTGAAAGAGCTATGGGAGAGTGCCCAGGCTCTGAGTTCAAGGCCTAGTACTGGCACAAAGAAAACCTCATAACAAAACAGGAACCAATCTACTAAATCTCACTGAGAACCAGGGGACTCTGGGACATTTGAGTGGTAGTACTCGGTCTGTGCTGTGTGGGCAGGAAGACAGGACTCCTAGCATAGGGGTTGGGTTTAATATCCTGGGTCTCTCACTCAATGTTACCCTTCCCAGCTTGCTGCATATCAAAGATGCCCAACTCCAGGCCCGTGTGGCCAGGAGAACAGGCCAGGCTGTGGATTGCAGGTCCCACTTGGCCCTTGCCAGTTGAGCTACAGAAAGGAGATCTACACTGGGAAGAACGAGTCCAGAAGGCCGAAACCCCCATCTCGACCCATGCTTAATGTGTGGCAGCTGTGTTACTGTGGGAGAACACAGCCACTCTCCCCACCCAGGCTTCGGTGCAGTGCCCCAGGGCCTCTGCTGGGGTGGGCGAGGTAACCATAGCAACAGAGGGCTCCCGTGTATGCCTCAGAGCTGGGCCTGAGGATGGATGCTGTTGTGTGCCAGGAAGACAGCCTGTGAGAGCAACATGTGGAGCAGGAAATCAGCCGGAGTGGATGGGGACAAGCAGGGATGGAGACAGCTAGAGCGAAGAGGCCCCAAGGTCAGAGCCAGCCTCCAGCACTCGCAGCATCTGGCCTTGGTACAGGGACTGGGCGTTAGTTCGGTGGTGGTGGTGGTGGTTTATGTCCCAGCACACTGTGGGAGTGACAGCTTGCAAGTAGTGGGGGCGGTGGCTGGCATGCCACCAATAGCAGTGGGCCGTCCAGATCCTCCCTCATGGAACGGGGAAGAGAAGCTGGCTAAAACCATGGCGTCTCCAGCGTCCTGGGGGGTCCATGCACACCAAGGCTGCCCTGCTGAGGAGTGACGCAAGCGCACCCTGAGCACAAAACACACTCCGTGAAGGAGCCCCTGCCAGCACATGGCTCAAATAAACAAACAAGCAGTACCAGGCTGCACGGGGGATGGATGCCAGTGGTCAGACCCCCTGCAAAATGCTATCTACTTCAAACAAACTGGAAAGATATCATGCACTCACAGACCAAAAAAAAAGCAGGCAACCTCTGAGGTGCCTAAATGTTGAAACTAACCAAGCCATGACTTCCAAAGTACCTGTTATGGATGAATGTGTTGGCACATGCCCATAATCCCAGCTAAGAGGGAGGCGTGGATGAGAGGACTGTTTTTCGAGGCCAGTGTGAGCAAGAGAGAGTTGGTAAAACCCTGTATCAAAAGACAGCCTGGGGGGAAAACTGGGAGAAAGTGAGGGAAGGGGAGACATTGTCCCAAAAGAAATGTACTTATTACTTGACTTATCTAACTGTAACCCCTCATACATCACCTTTCTAATAGCAATAAAAATTAAAGCAGTTAAAAAACAAAGACAAGCTAGATATGATGGCACATGCTGTAATCCCAGCTATTCTGGAGACAGAGGTACGAGGATCATGGTTTGAGGTTGTTCTCTGTCAAA